TGAAAAATATATCAAAAATGCATGTGGGCACTCAACTGAAAGCTCTTGATGAGTGTAACATCGGGATGAGCTTATATCTTTAAAAATGTCAATAGTTCACGAAATACAGGGTAATTTCTTAATTATGTATCTAGAGATAGAGCATTTTCGAATGCAGCTTAAATACTTATCATCATAAATTGACTATTGGTGAGAATGATATGAAACCTTGAAAAGACACAACTCTAGGTCAAGACCTTTCTCATGATACCAAATTTTTCTTATTCTCTTAATAATTTAGATTATTTTTTTATTTTTCTATGATAAAAAAATATCATCGGAAAAAAATTCTAAAAGTTTTCTAATTTAATTAGCATAAATTTAATAATAAATAATTTATAAAATAATTTTGTCGAAAAAAATCAATTATTTTCACGGTAAAATTACAGAAGAAAAAAAAAGGAATTATAAAAAAAATTTTCCAGCTATTTTATAAAAATCTTTGTATCAAAACATTGAAAAAAAAAAATAGATCAATTATTTCCGTCCCTTCGTAGACAAAAACATTTAGTTGTGGTTTTTATCAAAAACAAAAAGGCCCAAAAGCTAAGTGGGCGTACTGTGAGTCATTTTTCTACTTCAACGTCTCGTTTGTGACTTGTCTAGTAAAAAGTGCCGCTACGCTGGTCAACGCAAGCCCGAGCCCACTTCGTTCATTTGTTGCGTAAATTAGTGAAGGATAATGAGGATAAGGCCCGCCGCCCTTCTTCCTTCAAAACGTCCTAACAAATGAACCGAGAAAATACGGAGAAATATTTCGGTACCTTTATTTAATTTGTTATTACTTTTCACAGGCCTGAAATTTTTTTATTTTTATAGTCTAAGTTATCCCTTGAGTTAATATTTGCAATTGGAAAATCTAAAAAACAAACACCCGGCAGCATGCCGTACATTTTTTATAACTCTTACTTCTACGCGCGATAAATAAAAAAAACAAACAAACAAACACTTGAATTTCTGTTTGGTTTTAAAGTCAGGCATGACACAAATCCCGTTTTAGGGTTGAAATATTTTTAAGATCAAACATCATCAAGTAATTCCTCGATATCACACCTTTGTACATAAATCCTGCAGGTACACAAAATTCAAAAGAAAAGAATTTACATTTTTATTCTCTTACAGTATAATTTTAAAATAAAAGTTAAGACTGTTGGCGCCGTTACAAAAAGTATTAAGAAGAAATTAAATCTCAGTAAAAAATTTTCAGGAGTTTTTAAAAATCCTTAATTGATAAGTACGAAGTGCAGTGGTTTGTTAGAGCGGCAAAAAAAAGTTAAATTGACAGTTACTTTGGCGTAAGTGAATGAAATAAAATAAAGTTAATAAAGAGGAAAACAAAAGGATGTATCGTAAAGTCTGAAGGACCTCGTAAACCAGTCAAATTTGTCGACGCTTTCCGGCCCGAGAACGTTTAAAATGTCGTAAAGTACGCGTGGGGTACTCTTATATATACATGTGTGTATATATGGAGAAGTTAGGTGAGTTTTGAGACGAGTGTGTCAGAAGTAAGACAGAAAGAAGACGAAAAGAGAAAAATAGCCGTGTTTGGGGTCTCCTCGTAACTTGAGTTCTGTTTTGCAGCTCGTAAACTAGCGGGTCAACCCAACAAGCAAAAATAAAGGTAAAAAAGGCATTAGTGTTCTGTGTTGTGTCTGGTGAAATAAAAAAGAGGAAAGGGAGCTTGAAATTTAATTGTGAATAAAAATTTTTCAGCCAATTATTTGGGAGCTACTGGGAATTTTATTAATCGTCTTTAAAATATCTAAATGTCAATTTGAGATTTTTCGTCTTGTCAGGGATAAAAGGGACAAGATATGTCTTTATTAATATTTAGATAAATCACCGAGGATCGATGTCTTAATTTAAATCAAAAAAACACCACTCCTAAAAGATATGACGTCTGTTAAATATTTAATTGCAAGAGACAAGTAGAAAAAAAAAATTGAAGCGGATGCAAATTATCCCCTATAAATAATGTGGGAATCACAATAAAAGTAATGGAGAAACGAGCTAGCGCTAAAGTCCCACAATAGCTCTAATTAAAATCCGTCTAGCTTTTTATTTCTTCTTCACTAAGCCCCCAGCAAATTTGTGCTAGAATGATAATAGAGCACAAGAACGAGAAATAGTCGAAAATAAAAATAAAAATAAGCTAAGAAACGAGACGAGAGGCGTGTCTGTTGCGGCTAGCACAAAGAGTTGCCCACTCGACAGGTCTAGTGGTGGGGAGATTGGTCCTGCGGGACCCGATCTTGACCCCCACCTCGCTGAGGCCCAATTCCCCCTCCAGGCGCTCGGCAGCGTGGTCCAGCCACGAGATCTCCGAGCTGCTCAAGACGTCGTCAGTTTACGCAACGACTCGATCGACTTAAGACGTCGCTCGAGCACCCTCTTGTTCAGTCTCAGTATCAGTGTCATCAGTGACGTCTGTGAAGTGAATTTTATTTTTTTTAGTATTTTATTTTTTTTTTTAATTAAAAAAATTAGACAATTTTTATTAAAAAAAAAAACATGACGAGCTACGCGTGTTTCCAACAGTACGATCTCCTAGACTCAGAAGGTTACGGCTCGGCGAGCAGCCCCGAGTCGAACCCAAGGTCTTACAGGCCCCCTCAGGCCCCGGAATGCTACCCCCAACCCCCTCGGTCAAGGGGCAGCAGCTGTGACAGCTTAAGTTCCGTTGATAGTCAGAATCATCAAGAATATTTTCCGAATTTGGGTGGCGGGTTCAACTTTACTGAGTTTTACGAAGGGTACAATCGCGAGGCCGCTAAGTGTGACCAAATTTATGACCCCTTCAAGCCTTTGCCCTCCAAAGAGAGCCAACACAAGCTTAATTACAATTGCCGGACGGAGTTCAACTGCTCTGTTGATGAGAATTATGATTTAGGCTACCTAGAGGTGAAATCTCACCCCGTTCTCCAGCAGAAAGTTAACAATGGAAATTTAAATGTTAATTTGAACGGAAATGGAAATGTTAATGGCAGCGAGTTCTTTTCTAAGAATTTGTACAACCAAACTTTGAACCAGGAGCAAAATTTAAACTATCAATTGGAAAACTACCAGGGGAAAAATGACCTCGAGCAGAGCAGAATTAAGTGTCAGGTTCAGAGGTATCGGAGGGACAGTGAAGCTTCCTTGAGCCCCTCGCCATACCCGGGTCAGAAAATTAAGGAAACTCTGCAGAAGATGAAGAATTCAGCGCCTGGGATTGAGGTGATGAGGAAAAGAAGACTTGCTGCTAATGCTAGAGAGAGGAGGAGGATGAACAGTTTAAATGATGCTTTTGATAAACTGAGGGATGTCGTGCCTAGTTTGGGGAACGATAGGAAGCTCAGCAAGTTTGAAACTCTTCAAATGGCTCAGACTTACATTTCTGCGCTGTATGAACTTCTTCAGCGCGACTGATAGCGGAGGATTTGGAGAGACTTTTAAAAGTGATTTTTTTTAACAGACTGAGGTATATTTTTGTAAATATTTACAAGTGGGGTCAACTATTTTTATTTTTATTTTTTTTAATGAAATTTTTATTGATATATTTTTTTAAAAACAAATAAAGAAAAAATGAACAATTTAAAATTCATAAAAAAAAATTTAATTATTAAAATTTTAACAAATTTTCAAAAGAATTTATAAATTATTTAGAAAATTGTGATATTTAATTTTTTTTTAATTGTTTGTTGTTTTTATCTACTTTTCAAAAGAATATATCAAAAAAAGATATAATAGAAATTTTATCCAAAAATATGAGTCAAAATTTTTGCCAAATTTTGAAGGCAGGAAAAAAAATATTATTTTCCAAGAAATTATTAATTTTGATGAATTTTAAATAATTTACATTTTTTTCACGAAATTTTTTATCATAAATGTGCCGTAAAAACAAACAGGTTAAAAAAAAAATTAAAAATAATTTTTCACCTATTTATGGTCCAAAATGAGGTCCAACTTGTTAAGAATTACCGTATATTTTTGTAAATATAAATATTGATGGTTATTATTATTATTATTGTATGTAAATAGATGAGTTAATGATAATGATAATTATTATTATTATTAAATGCTTTAAGTTATTTGATGAATAAAGTCTAGTTAATTGTGTTGTAAATATTGATGTATGTTTTGTAGACTAAGTTGGTAAGAATGTAATTAGTATTTAAGAGTGTAATTAGATATTTTAGTCTGGATAATTTGTATGGATGAATGTAATTAATAATTAGGAATTTTATAGTGTAAATTGTGTGTAATATTATGTTGGATGTTATTATTGTATTGATGTGGGTACTTGAGGATATAAGAGTACGAGTATGTTAAAATGGTTAAATGTTCTGCACGCGAGATACTTTCCCGTCACCTTCGTATCGCCATTATCATAATCGTCGGCTGGAGTGTCCGAGTACTTAGCAGTCAATCACAATTAAATAGTATTTTGTGGCTGCATACAAGCCGATTCGATCGGACGGTGAGGTGATGTGATGGCTTGTATGATGGGACTCGGACTGAGGATGAGGTTCGAGGTGACGGAAAGCAAAAAGAGAGCAAATTGAAATCTTCTAGCCTGTAGAGCACTGACGGAATGATAGATGGTTCACGTACGACCATCAACGGACAATGACCACCCTACATGACGACCTCCACGGTTATACTTTTTTCGTTTTATCCGCTCTACGCTTTTAAAAGGACATCTACAGATATTTATTTTAATAGAATTAGTGTACAAATTTATTATGTAATTCAAATTTATGTTTTTTATTATTTTCGGAGGAAATTTTTATAAGAAATTCTTTGAATAAAATTCAATTTTATATTAATTTTGATTTTTTATTTATTTTTAAATGTTTTCCTGTCTTTAAGTTAATTTTAATTTTTTATTTTATACTCTACTTTTTAATTAATATTCATTCGACTCAAAGGTAAGTATTAAATTGAATTTTCTAATTTTTTATGTCCAACTTTTTCTTAATATTTTAATGAAATTTTTTTTTATTTTTTCATCTATATTATTAAGAGAATAAGCAAAATTTTGTGGCCAGTGAATTTATATGACAAAATGGGTTTCTGTGGTTAAATTTGGTATCGTTAGAAAAGTCTTGACCTGGAGTTGTGCCTTTTCATGGTTTTATATCATTCTCACCAATAGTCAATTTATGATGATAAGTATTTAGGTTGCATTCGAAAATGCTCTATCTCTAGATACACAATTAAGAAATGACCTTGTATTTTGTGAACTATTGACATTTTTAAAGATGTAAGCTCATCTCAATATTACACTCTTTTAGACCTTTCATTTAAGTACCCACATCAATTTTTCATATATTTTATATATATATATATATATATATATA